AATTATTGATATGAGTGAGACTGTGAGAAAGAGAGAGAGACAGAGTGAGAGAGAGAAGAAAGAGAGATAGAGAGAGAGGGAGGGGGGCCTACCACACACACACACACAGAGAGAGAGAGAGAGAGAGAGAGAGAGAGAGAGAGAGAGAGAGAGAGAGAGAGAGAGAGAGAGATGTTGAATGGCAAAATTGAAACATGGGTAAAATTGCGGCCTTGATCTATTTCATAGTTGGAATGATTCGTCAAATTTTATTGAGCATTTTTCCTGGAAAGATCACAACGAAATCTACGAGTATTCCAATTTTTAGGTTTTTTCACGCATTCTTCTGAGAGCGAAAACTCACTGAATTTGGAGTACTTTTTTAGTTGGCCCATGCATGGCTGAGTGGCGAAAATGGAAAATGTGCCGAATCGGCGCGATAATTATTTCGCAGTCTAGTTAATTTTTTAAAAATGTTATAATATTATTCCTGGAAAGAACACGACCTCATCTAGGGATTTTCAAAATTTCATATTTTTCTGCGGGTTCGTCCGAGCACAGAAAATCGCCAAAGCTGCCTCTTGCAAAACGTCAATTTCGTTGTGCCGAGCCTCGCTGTTTGAGAAGACGGGCCTCAACGTCTGGGCCTGAGGGCCCTTTTGCAGTTCACATGCCCTCACTTGTTTTGGGGGTCTTCTCCTACCCGAGGACCGGTCCAACGGCCCCCACTTCTTTTTGGGGTCCACTTCCACCCGAGGACCGGTCCTTCCTTTTTCCAAAAGTCCCGATTCTACCAGAGCTAGTTGTAGGTAGTCCACAATTTCGGCAAGGACCGGTCCCCCAAATTTTGTTGCCCCTTAAGAAACCACTTTGCGTCCTAGTCGCCCGCCGCCAAAAATCCGACACCTTGATACAGACATCAAAGTCCACTATACTGCAGCCTTAGGGCAACGAACTGCTAGTTAAGCCACCAGTACCTTTCGCATATATAGGCCACCACATGCCCCTCACCACGACTTCTGTAGGCCCAAAGCGGAACACGGGTCACCGATGAAATTTATCAAGGGTGGCCTGACCCCAAAAGTTGCCCGTGTTAAACCACCAGTACTTGGCCCAGCCATCGAGCGCAGAAAAAAAAAAAGTAGAAACGTTTCTAGTTGGATGAATTTGGGTGCTCCTTTAGTAGCCGGTACATTTCCTAAAATCGTGGCGCGTTAACGGGCATGACTCTAGGAAGTACTGGTGGTTTAATCGGCGTATATTTTCTTTCAAGCGAGGAAAGGTACTGTCGGCTTAAACCACTAGTACGTCTGACGCAGTTTTTTTGCTGGTCAAACCACCAGTACACGGGCATACAGACCACTGTCCACTGTCAGGGGCGAGGTCGCGCCGCGCCGCCGGGCCTTTTTTTGCTGGCGTCCGAAAAGTTAGGGTACAGGTGGTGGTGCTATGAAGGAAGGGTAGTGGCGCTCAGTTGGGCATGGCAGATGTTTTTTGGGAGGCGGGAACTGCGGAGATGGATATGTTTGTGGAGGTAACCCCATTCTATTGAGATGCGGAGTGGAGGGAAGACTAATGCTGAGGAGGGCGCAACAAGCGGGATGGACACGACCCCTTCCTCCTCCTGATTTTTTTATTTTTTATTTGATTTTTTATTTTTTTTGCACCGGTGGTTACTTTGTGGCGTTTTTTTGTGGTTTGAACCCCCTATGGCACTCATCAACAGGTTCGACGAGGTCGGACGATAGCATCTTCTGCTTGGCAGGTTGGTGCCTGCTTAGCGCTTCGTTCGCTGGTGAAAGGGTTTCACATGCTGGCGAGGTTGTCATGGCTAGCGGGGGGAGGGGGGAGGTTGGCTCCCTCCCACAAAGACGGAGGGGGTGAGTTTAGACGACGAAGTTCATTGCGTTTTTTTAGTGACAACGGGGCAACGTGATTAACGTAAAGTGTAAGAGGAGGTTTTTTGCTCGGTCTGTTAATGACAAAAGAGGCGGTAGGTGGAAGTTTC